CTTCAAGTCAAGTCAATGGCTGTTTTGTGCTGGAGATTTGGTGTTATTTGGATGGAGAGATAAGACGTCTTCATTTCTCTTTTCGGGAAGATCATGTTTTATGGATGGAGGTATAGATCATCTCGAGGGGACGTTTGTAATGAATATGCACTGTGTGTGATATGAGCTCAGAGCATGCTGGGATTAACATGTACATGTGTGTTCACCTGCAGTTCTGGACTGAAGTGTATTTCACACAAGAACTATGTGATTTCTCAGGACTCTTATTGTGTAGTTCGTCAGCCCTGCGGTGGGTCCTAACGACAAGTGTTATTAAAACTGCTCTGAAATGTAGAATTAAAACTATTAGGCTTCCAGCAGCATTTATTTCTCATCAGATCTCATGTGGGCCGAGGAAAATGCAGAGGACAGGCTAAAATAGGCAAAGTGGATCAAATATAGCAATTTTTTAAAATGCATTTTCTGCTGATTGTTGGAGAAAAACGGCAGAATTTAATACATTCTAAAACAAAATGTAAATAAATTAAAATTGTATAAAATATAAATATAATGTATATAGTAGAGTGTATTAAGTTGAAAGAACCCATATGGTGTTAATGTTTATGTGGGAAGAAGAAGAGAAAAATTTATTAGGGTTATTATTAACTAAAAATTAAAACCATAAAAAAAACTTTTTTGTTGCTTTAAATAAATAAATATAAAAACAAACAAACATACATACATTAACTGAAATAAAATAAAATATGAATTTCAGCTAGTTCTAAAGAAGTACTAAAATAAGTAAAAATTAATCAACTAAATACATATAAATACAAAAATATACATATAAATATACATAACATACATAAAAAAAGATAACTATATATAGACATTTATTTGATAAAAAACAGTAATATTTTGAATATTATTGCAATTTAAACTAACTGTTTTCTATGTGAATATCTGTGAAACTGTATTTATTTCTGTGATGCGCAGCTGTATTTTCAGCATCATTACTCCAGTCTTCAGTGTCACATGATCTTCAGAAATCATTCTAATATGCTGATTTGCTGCTCAAGAAACATTTCTGATTATTATCAATGTTGAAAACAGTTGTGCTGCACAATATTTTCGTGGAAACGGTGATATATTATGCTGATTTGCTGCTCGAGAAACATTTCTGATTATTATCAATGTTGAAAACAGTTGTGCTGCACAATATTTTCGTGGAAACGGTGATATATTTTAATTGCCATGATCCTTTGAGGAATATAAGTTTAAAAGAACAGCATTTATTATTATTGCATTACAGGTCTTTACTGCCACTTTTTGCAAAACAAGTATTAATTTCTTTCAAAAAATCTAAATCTTACTGACCCCAAACCCACCTCTTTAATCACAGCTTTCTTAAACCAATTGGTTTCCTTAAAGACTCTCCACATGGCCTCTTCTTGTTTAAATACTGTAATAGCTGCAGGTTCACCTTTGCTTATGTGCATTTAGATCCTGAAAGACAACCTGAACTGTCACTTTAACCGCAGCACAAGTGTTTACTTCAGACTTTTATCTGATTTAATGTCAGGTTGATTTGATATAGAATGCATTTACATATCCTTAATTTCCTCTGAGCCCAGAATGAATTTTCCTGGCTAAAGATAAGATTGACCTGATTAATCTGAGTGATGGCTTTGAATTAACGTATTTACATAAACACACACACACACACGCGCGTGCGGATCTGTCCGGAGGTGTGTGTCGCTGCAGGAGCGCTGTAGTGGATGATAGGAGTTGAATTGGACTCTGATTAGATGTCAGTTTATCAGATGGCTGAGGTGCTGCTGGACTGAAAAAGTGCATCTGTCTCAATGCTGTGTGAGATGTTTGAAATCTAAACTCAAATAGCAGAACAAACCACATGAGATCAAGACAAATCCAGCCCCACACATGCACCGATGACTCGCTGATAACAGGAATTTGAGAACTGAGAGTACACATTTTTTTTATTTTCAACATGAACTTTGTCCGACGTTACACATTTAATATATAGAAACACACAATGCATTGTTAAATATTAAGAAACATATGACTCAAAAATGAAATCAAACAGAAAGGTTGCCAGAATTTTACCGTAAATAATACAGTAGCAACATTTTAAGTTTACAGATTTTTATTTTTCATAAACTTAAATAATGTTAATATACCAAATTGCTAAAATCTGAATTTTACCTTTATTATAAAATGGTGATGAGAAAGTCACACAAACACACACCATCATGATAACACACTAACATACACTAAAAATAATGTGATAAACCTTAATTTAACAACATTAATTAAACAGCTTTTAACAACAAAGGCAATTACGACTTACTATCTCACAATTCTGACTTTTCTTCTCAAAATTACAATAGCCTGCAAATTTTAGTTTATATCTCACAGTTTTGAGTTTATATCTTGCAAATTTTGACACGTCACAATTGCACTTGTTTTTTGTTTTGCATTGCATTGCATTGCTCTGCTTTGCTTTGTTTTGTTTTGCTTTGCTTTGTTTTTGCTTTGCTTTGCTCTGCTTTTTTTTTTTGCTTTGCTCTGTTTTGTTTTTGCTTTGCTCTGCTTTGCTCTGTTTTGTTTTTGCTTTGCTCTGCTTTGTTTTTTTCTTTGCTTTGCTCTGCTTTGTTGTTTTTGCTCTACTTTGTGTTTGCTTTGCTTTGCTCTGCTTTGCTTTGTTTTTTCTTTGCTTTGCTCTGCTTTGTTTTTTTTTTTGCTTTGCTGTGTTTTGTTTTTGCTTTGCTTTGCTCTGCTTTGCTTTGTTTTATTTTGCTTTGCTCTGTTTTGTTTTTGCTCTGCTTTGCTTTGTTTTTTCTTTGCTTTGCTCTGCTTTGTTTTT